GGTCGCAGCCGCCTTCCCCCCTTCTTCTGCGATAGCGGCTTATTGGGCCCCACGGTGGGCCCTTCCCCCTTCTTCCTACCTTTCTTCTTCTTGCGACTGGACACGGTAGTCCAGTCGCCCTCTATGCCCCCCTACTGAGCCTGCTGGAGGTTCAGAGGGTTGAGCCCTAAGCCCACCGTAGCCGATCCTAGGGGGAAACGTCCCTCCAGTATCCGCCCCAGGCGGGCGATCTCCGCCTTGAGGCCGCGGATTTGAATTTCCACGGCCGCAAGGCGGGCATCTGCTCCCCCCTCTGAGGCCATCTCGACCAGCTCGTCGACGGTCTCCTCGATGTCGTCGAGGGCACGACCAGCTTCGCCGAGCTGGTCGATGGCCACACCATTATAATACGCGTCAGCACCACTCCCTACGCGCTTACCCGGAAATACTCAGAGAACCCTGAGGTTCTCGAGACCCCGGTAAGAATATTCCGCAGCATGCTTAGCAATGCGGGGTATTTCCACCGGCGGAATTCCCCACTGCCGCCGACCATCCTTATCTCGCGGATCACGTCTCGGACCCTCGTCGTTACCGCGAACAGAGTCATCCCCCTTCCCCAAGATGGCTTGTCCACCCTCTGGGAGAGGAGGGTAACTCTCGTCCCCCCCTCGCGAATGAGTGGTGACCGGCATCTCCACTTTTCTCCTTTTTGTCCCGTCCGCCAAGGGGACGGGCAACGAGTCATTACGACTTGCACCCGACCCCACACCGGACACTTCCCTACGGGCGGTAGCCATGTTGGACGACGTGCCCGACTGGCACACGTCGCCCAGCCCGTCGCATGCTGACGACGAGGAGGGACTATACACCCTCACTCGCCGTTTTCCGGGTCTGAAGTCCGGAAGGGTTTTATCTCCTTTTGACATTCTACCATATTTTGCAGGGGTTTTACATGCCCCTGCAACACGGGTGTGATTTCGGGGTTTTTCTTCCCCTAGACCGATTGCCTTCACCAGGCTAACGAGCCCGCGCTGTAGGGTCCTTCGAGCCCCACGAATGAGACACTCCAGACCCTGGTTAAAACCTGGAGGCAGCTGCCCATCCAGGAGTATTATGGACGCTCTTAGTCTGGCCCCTCAGTATAGACCACTCTGGCATGGTAGAACCTGCCAGGGGTCGAAACCCCCGCCGGCACAGCTCTGTACATCATTGGGACACGCAAGCTCCCCCACCACGGCAAGATGGCGTCCACGGGGGAGTCCCAGAAGTACCAGACCTAACAAAGAAAACACAAAAAATTTGGGAAAAAATATCTTTATTTCTCTACAAAGTCTCCTTTTAGCTCAATACACTTTTCCCAGCGACGTTCAATAGCTTCGATACCCTATTCATAGTGGGAATTGTCGAGCACCTCAAAATAGCCATGAACCGCAGACTCCACCTCTTCATTGTTGGCAAATATTTTACCACCGAACCATTTTTCAAGTTTGGAAACAGAAAATAATCCGAGGGGGCTAAATCTGGCGAATAAGGTGCGTGAGGAAGCAATTCGAACTTTAACTCATTTATTTTGGCCATCGCGATAACGGATGTGTAAACTGGTGCATTGTCTTGATGAAACAAAACTTTCTTTTTCGCCAAATGCGACGTTTCTTCTTGATTTCATCACTTAAACACTGCAATAAGTTCGCATAATACTCGCCGTTGATTGGTTTTCCTTTCTGAAGATAATCAATGAAAATTATCGCACACGCATCCCAAAAAACTGACACCATGACCTTGCCTGCAGATGGAACTGTCTTCGCTTTCTTTGGAGCCGATTCTCTCGTTTCAGTCCATTGTTTTGATTGTTCGTTCGTCTCAGGTGTGAAGTGATGGACCCATGTTTCATCCATGGTTATGAATCGACACAAAAACTCGACTTTATTGCTGTGAAACTTCGCCAAATATTCGATTGAAACATCCTCACGACGCTGTTTTTGTTCCATTGTGAGTAATCGCGGCACCCATCTTTCACACAGCTTTCTCATGTCTAAATTTTCAATATGCGATGTACAGCACTTTTTGAAATGCCCACCATGTCTGCCAACTCGAGCACTTTCAGTCGACGGTCATCCAATACCATTTTGTGGATTTTCTTCACCAATTCTGGCGTGGTTACCTCATTTGGTCGACCACTGCGATGTTCGTCTTGGCAGCTCGTACGATCTCGTTTAAACTTTGCTACCCAATATTTTACTTTTGTAAATGAAGGAGCAGACTCCCCCAGAGTAGAATCTAGCTCCGCTTTGATATTGGTGAAACTGAGGCATTTCAAATGAAAATATTGTATCACATAACGACGAGCAATTTTTCCATTTTTACAAATTCACTTAGAGCGTTCACTATTGATGGCTGCCAAACAAATACTGAACAACGTAGCGTCGTCAAACTTTAAACTTAAGCTTTATAAGGTTAGTACTTTCTACCATAGTCATTCCTTTCAAACAACAACCGTCATCTATACGTCAGATCAGGTACTTCTGGGACTAATCTCGTATCGTAATCGTTTATTATCATCATCGTCGTACGTGCAATAAAATATTAATCTCTTCTCCTCGATAATCGAGCGATCGTCCTTCTTGATCGATGATATGCACCGTTAAATCTGTAATGCTCCGTGCGACGATTGTGAGGTAAATGATATGTGCCGGCGTTTCCGATATCATATATCCTGATGGTATCCTAGGCGAGAATTCATGTATCATATGTATACGCATACTGTTGCTGTACGCACCACTGACGCTGCATACTATACGAATGATATTCACGTTGATAATCTTAATCGGTGTGTCCGATTCGTACCATTATTGTGGCTCTAATATACGACTCGATGAGAATCCCAAAAACGAGCCAATGTTTTTTGGTTTGCTAAAATTTATTCTATAATGCGACCGCTCCTATCGTCTAGAAAGCGGGCAAATGGTTACGATGATACACCGGCCGCACTACGCCTTTCCCAAAAAGTTTTCACCCAACCAAATTGGGCGCCAGGCACGTCTCCCATGCTCACCAACACCAACCAAAAGATTCGCTAACAGCGGCGGACCGATCCGATCGCCTACGAAACCGACAGCCCCGGGAATTTAAGTCGGAGTAGAAGTGGGTTGTTCTACTCTCGAAATACTGGAAAGGGGAGACAAAGAACCCGTTCACTTTAGTAGAGTTGATAATATATTCGATAATGAACTTATTCCTAATTACAAAGACAATATCGCGAGACTTCCCCTGACAGGAATCGCTCGAAAACAATAACCCGACAGACCGTGACTCCCGATGGCGATGCGAAGACGATAACGAAATTTTTCGGCTGTTATTTCCGCGCTTCCGACTATCGACCCTCGGTGGTCCACGAGAGAGAGAGAGAGAGAGAGCCACTTAAAATCGCTACGTCACAATAAGCATATTTGATTTCGCTCATCATCGTATTATTATTGGCACGAATTATTATAGGATATTCATTCTCGTCATCTCTATATGGATTATTTTCGGAACGTACTGATTTTGAGAATGTGAAATTGCACGTTTTAAATATTCGTACATGGCACGCAATTCGTATGATCCTTCAGGAATCATAATTTCTTCGCCGTTAACACCATGTACATATACTATGCGACGCGAATTTCTCTCGCCGTCGGCAAATTGCCGTCGGCCCACGTCACGGTCGCGCCGACACGAAAGTTGTTGGGCGCCAGGTGCAGCGGGCTGCACCACTCACCAATGCGAATACTCAAAAGAAAGTCAGCGACCGCGACGCGGGAGTCCGACGGGACCGGTAGCTCGACGGAATTTAAAGTCGGTAGATGGCCGGGTGTAGCCCGGAAATCGGGAAAACGGGAGAGACGGTAAAGAAATTTGACAGCGCGGCGATAATTCTATTTATTTCCCTCGGGAATCGATACGCTCCAATTCGTCGCGAGACGGTTTCACAGTCCTCCGCTCGATCTCTCGCGGTATCGACACCGCTCTACGCGACAGACAAAGAAAGAAGATATGCCCTCGGACGATACACGGAAACGATGAATTACACATGCGGAACACCGAAGATTAGAGCAGGTGGACGGTCTTACAGTATCGGGAACCTCCCGGTGGCGTGGTCCTGGACGGTCGTCGAGCAGGTCGATCCGGTCGCGAGGTCGGCTGTCGCTCTTCCTTTATCCCTTCTGGGTCGGTCCGGCCAGGCACGGTGTTGCACAATGCACCTCGCGGGTGTTATCGATAGCGATAGGAGCTCACGAAAAATGTATCGTGAGCGGCGCGAGAACTCTTTTTCTCTCTCTCGAGCGGAACACGAAATGTCACTCTTTTGTCTGCAAGGAGAAAAACGAATCTGAATCTCTCGAGACGAAAAATCTCTCCCTTCCTCTCCGCTCTTTCTTCCTCTCCGTTTTTGCGAGGGGTTCCTCTTCGCCCTGTTCCTCGCTTACTCCAAGGTACGGCAATCACTCCGCGGATCGTTTTTGTTGATCCGTGGAACGGGTGCTCTTTCTCACTCTCGCTCGCTCGCTTTCTCTCTCTCTCTCTTTTTCTCCTTCTAGATCCTTTGTCTCTGCAAGCATTGTCTCCGGTCCGTCTAGCCCTTGTCTTTGGCGAGCGGGCCATGCATCGGGAACGTGCTCATCTGTATGCCGTTGTTATTCCTCCGTGTTGTCAGCCAACGGCCAGTCAACGGCCAACAAAACGGCAGCGAAAATCCTTTGACGATATACCATTTTCTAAAACGAGACGAGAATCGAGAGCAATCACCTGAGGGATGCGTGCAGTGCCGGCGGTAAGTGTCGTCCTCCACATCTTCTTGCTCCTCCTGTTCAGTTGGTCGACTCGGGAGGGCCAAGGGCACAAAACTCGGGGACGCGAGACCGTCACACCTGCACGCTCTTAACACTAAATTCTTATTTTGGTGCCACCAATTTTACTTAGTCCGCGGGGAGGCAATTCGGGTCCCCCCCTCGCGTCGTGACCGAGGGTTCGCACGGTGACGGGCGTCTCCACGGCCGCCACGTCATAACTAAAATTGGAACGATACAGAGAAGATTAGCATGGCCCCTGCGCAAGGATGACACGCAAAATCGTGAAGTTTTTATCACCATAATAAAATTTATTATTTGACGAATTTACGTTTGTTATCATATTGTTATCATACTTCGAAATCCGTCAAATCGAGCTTGTAATCACCATTGCTTAAATCTATAGCGGGAAAGTAAGAATGTTAGTGTAAGAATGTTACCAGTCAACGTAAGCGTTAGCGACATGTCTGCAAACTGCCGAACGAATACTAACTGCTGTTAGTGGAATGTCATCATAATTTAAATTGATCTTGTACTGTTTGGAGAAACTGTAAGCACAATTGTCCGCAAATTCTCTAGTTGTAATGTTGATAAGACGTGCGATTGTACACAATTTTCACTACATATCTCTCAAGGTATCGAATCAATTCCTTGGGTGGTCGAAGATTACCAAAACTGTCAAAATATACTGCGCGATTTCCCCTTTTTGCATACGCTGTATGCGAAACCTGTAAGTACCTAGTCCCTCTATGTTGTCTAAATTTATAATACCACTCTCGTTTTGACGTATTCCATCTATCGGTAAGGCGTTACGCATGAAAACACCTCGAAAGTAAGATATACCCATACACCTCGCTAGTCTTTCCAATTACCAGGTATAAAGTATGAAATGCAGATTTTTTCCAAAGAAAAACACGTTAAATTCGGAAGAATGATAAAAAGTGGTTTATTCAAAATATACTCCATTGCTAGTTACACATTTTCCTATCTTTCAGGTAATTTGTGGATACCACGCCAGTAAAAATCTTCCCCTTTTGCCGCGAACCATTCATCGATCCATTTTTTCACATCTTCGAACGAACCAAAGCACTGCTCAGCAAGTGCGTGGCCCATCGATGCAAACAAGTGGTAATCGAAAGGAGCCAAGTCTAGTGAGTAAGCCGCATGGGGTAGCACTTCCCAGTTGAGTGCTTCCAACGTGTCACGAACCGGTTTTACCGTATGTGATGGAGCATTGTCATGGAGGAAAATTACCTTGTATTGCCTTTGTCGATATTCTGGTCGTTTTGCGAGTAGCGAACGGTTCAAATCGATCAATTGTTGTTGGTAGCGTTTGGTACTAACCGTTTTACCAGGCTGTAACAGCTCATAATAGACAACACCTTTCTGGTCCCACCAAACACAGAGCATCGTTTTCCTGCCAAAGTGACTCGGTCTTGCGGTTGACGTGGATGGTGTACCTGGGTTTACCCATGATTTTTTGCGCTTGGGATGCACAAAATATATCCACTTTTCATCCCCAGTAACGATACGATGTAACGATACGAAAAACGACTTTCTTTTGTATCGTTCGAGCAACATTTCAGATGTGGTTTTGCGCCTTTCCATCTGCCTCTCGTTCAGCTCATGTGGTACCCATCTGCCGACCTTCTGAATCTTTCCAATCGCTCGTAGGCGATTGGAAACAGCTTGTTGAATAACGTTCAATTGCTCTGCGAGTTGTTTTTGTGTTTGTGAATCGTCTTCGTCCAATAATGCTAGCAATTCCACATCTTCGTACTTTTTTGGCGGATTTCCGTGTTCCTTGTCTGCAACCTCAAAATCACCACTTCTGAAACGTCGAAACCGTCGTTCACACGTATTTTGCAATGGAGCATGTTTACCATAAGCTTCTCGAAGTAATCGGTATGATTCAGCAGCAGTATTCTTCAAATGAAAACAATGTGACGTGGCAGCCGCGGAGGCGCCCGTCACAAGATGGCGAGCCCTATACCGCGAGGCGGTGGGGGGGAAGAGGTCCTAAGGCTTGCGCGAATGGCAAAGGACCCTCCCCCGAAACTATAATTAACTATTATTGTTAGTGATAAGAGCGCGCAGATGTGACGGTCCTGCGTTCCCGAACTTTGTGCCCCTGGACCTCCTGCGCCGACCATCAAGACCGGAAGAGCCAGGAGGAAGAAGAGGACGTCACCTCAGGTGAATGCTCCTCCTTATCTTTCTTATTACTGACTCCCGTATCGCCTCAAAAGATTCTCGCTGCCGTTTTCGTTGTCCACAGGCCCGTAGAAATATCAAGCGAATGTATCGTCGCTCCCGTGTTCGAAGTGTGACCGCGTACGAGACAAAGCCGGCCTAGGCGCGCGCAAAGACAGCGGGAGCGCGAGAGAGAGAGAGAGAGAGAGAGCGAGAGTGAGACCGAGCATCCGTCCCGCGGATCGAAAACAAAGATCCGCGGAAGGATTCCCGTATTGGGAAAGAAAACGAGGAACGGGGAGAGAAGAGCCTCGAGACAAAACAAGGAAGAAAGGAGAGACACTGTTTTTGGAGGAAATAAAAAAGCGAACTATCGTTTTCGCTCTCTCTTCCATATTCAGTCTGCTGTCGACTATTACGGATCGTTATCGCTTCTACTACTATCGCATATCACTGTGAAAAAAGTTGTCGTCTACCGTTATGGAGAGCTTAAGTTTGTGCCACATCAAGTTTGTGCGCCGAGGATTACCGTTGGTGGCTGCGTTGCGTAGGAGTGAGCGGAGGAAGGAGGTCGAAGGACCACGTCGGGAGGTTCCCGACTGTGTAAGACTGTCCACCTGATTTTCTCCTTCGGTATCCCGTGCGTACCGTGTCTCGAACTATTTGTCAGCGCAGAGCAAGTCTCGAATTCGCGAGAGCACACAGCGGAGTGTATCGTATCGAGGGGTCGGACCGTACCGATTCCCGTGAAATAAAAGTGAGATAATCCAAACGCGCAGTGCTACTTTTGCATTTTCCCGATATTCCCGTATTCCCGATCGAACCCTCCCATCTACCGACTTAAATATCGAGGAGCTACCAGTCCCGTCGGATTCGCGTGTCTCGGCCATTTGGTGGTTTTTCGTTTCGTGTTGGTGATCGGTGCAGCCCGCTGCACCTGACGCCCAACAACTTTGGTGCGAGTGCGAGCGGCCAGGGCGCGTGGGCCGACGGCAATTTGCCGACGGCAAGAAGAAATCATGTCGCAACAAAAAATTAATGCTGTCCGCGAATGCTCTTTATTTGGCACAAAGTTCGACATATTAAACACAGCAAAACAATACTATGCAAACACTTTTTCAACTTATCGCTTGTGGGCGTTGACTCTTGTTGATGACACAACAAAATGGCATATACGTAAAATTTTTATACTCCACGCTGCATTGGTGCACTATCTGTTGTCTCAAATCCGCACTTCATACTTGTACACCTGGTATACGTTAGTCATTGCACCCATGGATCATTTTAGCCTCTCTTAGACTTTTTTTCCCTGTTGCGCCTCACCCACGCTTGTATGGGACACGCTTGTGCAAGATAGATTCCGCGACCTTCCATAGCGCAATATTGACATTTTAATTTTTCCAGTTGGCGTTGCGCGGCTTTGCTATCGTTCACCGCTTTTGCGACACCCACCGCTTCACCGACTAGTGAAATGAAAACTCCCAGTAATGATAGAACTGGTAAAATACCACCCCGTTTTGCTATTGGAAGTGCTCGTTTTCGGATTGCTTTCTTGGACGACTTCGTTTTCTTCATGTCCATACTGATTTTCGTTTTCTTCATATCCATGCTGATTTTCGTTTTGGCTTTCATGATAGCCCAAACGGCTGCAGCAGCAGCTCTCTCGCCTAGAGTTAAATCTTTCGAAGTTATGCGTTTCCGCGCTTTCACAACAAGAATATCATCCGCCGCGTGCCGATCAGCCAGATTGTTGCTATGCGAATAGGCTATATCATGCTCACGACACGCCGCGTCCAATGAATTAATGCTTTGATCGCCTGTAGTCAATCGTTTTATCAAGCGAGCTCCAGGACCACAAAATTGATATTCGGGAATGTATAGTTCGATAGGAAGCGTATTTATTGTGCGATTCAACAGACCGCTGCCGACTTTGACTTTTGTCGACGATATTCACTACAGTCCCTGATCAGCGGTACTGGACCGTCGATATGCGTTCGCTGCCATGGACGATTGTAATGTTCCAAACACCGACGATACTGCTGAACCTCTGGATCGAATGTTATATGTTTAGGGAGTCTATTCCACAAATCGTTAATATACTTTGCAAATTCGCGTAACAGAACAAAATTCGGTATGTATTTCAATTGTTCCGAAGTTAGTTCTTGAATATCACGAGTATCTGTCAGAAGAAGTAACATTTTCTAAACTGAGTATTTCCAAGATCGAAGCGTTTATACATAGTTTAATCGCAACGACCCGTTAACGAAATCAATTTTGCGACTCATGGGGGAAGCATGGGGTTTGTGAAGCAACCGACGTCGGTATACCTGTGACAAATGTCTACAATAGAACGCAATCAATGCTGGAGTAAGAGCGCAGGCATGGAAACATGCTTCTGAACACCATAAGCGGCATCATATGCGGTCCATCGAATTGCGACAAGACAAACGTTTTCATCAACTTGTTGGAAAGTCCGCAAGGTCTACGTTTCGAGAATTTGTACTCGAAAACGTGTACTCGAAATCGTTGCAACAACCTAAATATTGATACTTGGAAAATTTGCTGACATCGATAAATGAAATTGGATACTTTACATTCTCCAATAACAGCGACGTGATTCCAATGACCGAAGCGCTCAAAAATTCCATTTTTATCTCTGATGACGTGACACGTGACAAGCAAGATACGATAAGAGAATACCTTGCCATAGGTCGTCATTCCAACGTTGACTGCTTCTATCTCTGTCAGACGTACGCAAAAATCTTATACGAGGCAATACATATCTTCTGATTATTTTTAAATAGGATGGTACCAACTTGAAACATGTGTACACTCGCGAATTAAAAGGTACGTGCACCGATTTTTTGTTGACTTCGAAATGCGCTCCAACTTGACGAGAAAGACAACCATTGCTTCATACGTCAGCGCTGTCACTTATTACGAGAGCAGAAGGATCGCATATACGAGTGTCAAATAGGTAGTGATTGTGGCGTAGATACAAATGTCTTGGAGACTTTGAGTTATAATTGAAGAAATGAAGAAAACAAACAGTGATTGTGAAGAAAAGTGGCAAAAGGTTTCATAAAATTTGTAACAGAGCATATTAAAGGA